AGTATACCTCTCTTTGTCCTTCCAGGCTCCCGCCCTCCCTTCCCTGCAGATATAAAATCAGGTGGGATGAGGACAAAGTCTCTATGGGGACTCATTGACATCTGCACACTATTCCACGAATACGCTCTGTGACTAATGCAGCTGCTCTCTGTTTTCTCTGGGTCAACACACTGTGCTGACTTCCCAGGGTTCACACACTCAGAGGGAACTAGAACGAGGTCTTGTGAGCAACTGTCACTGATATTTCTAACGCAAATGTTTCCTCTGCGTTTTTCGTTTTCCGTCCATGCAGGAGCTTGGTGTCCACCGTACAAGCTCATGCTGGTGGCGATGACGAGCATAAGAAAGCAGAGGAAGGCCATGCTCCAGCAGGGATTCACAGAGCTGGGCATGGGGCTGAAAAGGTTGGGCAAACACCTGATGAGAGAGTTGGTTGTGTGCAAACATACATCAGTCCACACTTCCTCTAGCTTCCATCTCCAGCTGACGTTGAGGGCTACAACGACCCACACTGAAAGGCAGCAGAGGTAGCTGACAACATGAGAAAACCTCTTTCGTTTGCCTGTGTCCTCCTTCACAGTTTCTTCCCCGACATCGCAACGTTCTCTATCTGAGCTAGGCCAAAGCAGTCTGTTCAGGGTCTCCACAGCGATCAAGGGTGCTGTCAGGAGCAGCACCACACCGTATGTGTGGCTGAGAAAGAGCAGGAAGCGCAGGGCAATGACATCACCCAGTGTGGTCTGATCAGTCAGCCAGGACTTAAAGATGCAAAGGAAACTCAGAAAAGCTGTGGAAGAAAACAGTAGATTAGAGAAGTGACTTCCAACCAGAGTTATGTGGAAATATTTACTGTTGTTCATTTAACTTGAAAAATAAATAAATTAAAAAGATCGCCTTTAAACATGTTGTAAGATATAAAAATGCTTCCATTTTTAATTGTGCTGTACATTAGTTTTCTGCAAAAAACATATATTACTTAGTTTTAAACTGACGTTGTTCCCCAAGGTTAAGAATCTAGATCCCATGAATATGCATATTCTGCCTCCCACTTCACTGTAAAGTGTATTGAGTCTCTATACTGAATGTGTTCTGGAGGTTTAAAGTTCCACATGGCACTTGCACAAGTTTGTTTTAGAAAAAATAAATCAAGATTAGCCACTAAAACAGTTAAGATATCATAATATCCTGCTCACTTGTGAAACTGAGATTTAAGGTGAGCAAGAAGAAAATGTCTTTCTCAAGTGAGTGGGTATTAAAAAAAAAAGCAGATTTTGAGAGGAGGAATATAGCTAATTAAATGAGTGCTGCTTCAATCCTGTGTCTCCTGTGATAATTTCCATTTAATATAATAATCAGTTTGTGTCCATATTCAGAAAGGAACAACCACATGGTTTCCTTTGATCAAAACTGAAACTTTGCACATCCGGAGAGCAACATGTCCATCAAAAAAACGTTTGCCTGTTGATGGTCTAGTTCCCAGACGTTGCAATTAAATGTTTGTTTGCAAGTTAGACAGTGAGCGTCTTGATCAAAACTGTCACACTAAAACTTCTTGTTTGGTCCGACCAACATTTTAAGACAAAATCTACTTCAATGTTTTCACTGTGATATACTTAATATTGTTAAGATACCAAACAAATTCATATTAATTCAAACAAACAAATTTGTTACATTACGTAATGTTGGATGTTAATAATGCTCATTATTTTATCTTATAGGGCTTATGGGGAACATAGCCACAAAAAAAAGAAAGCGTTTGAAACCACTGGATCAGACTGTGCACACCAGGGTCATGTCCTGAAACTCACCTGTGACCAGGAAGTCCGTGAAGATGAGGAGGCAGCAGCAGCAGAAGCTGAGAGGACTGTGGGAAGTAGCCAGTGAGGGCAAGGAGAGCAGACTGCAGACCAGTTTGCATGCACACAACACCGCTGCTCCTTCCAACACCCCATCCATGGCTACAACAACAACAACACACAGGCACACGTTGGTTAAGGTATGAACAAACTGGTTTTCTTTTTGGCCTCGGGGTGGAGGAGGATCAGGAATGCCCGGCACTCTGCATCGAGTTAACCCCAGAAAGATGTGTTGAATTTTATCTGTATAGTTTATGTGGAGTTTTATAAACTTTCATTGATGTTGACAAATTCTCTGTGTGAATGCTTCAGCATTGGGGTATTTTAGATCAATATTTTCGTTGTTTACATTAGTAGTGAACCTTAGACTAGACTGCTGCTTACACTGCCTCAAAAGCAAGGGAACTTAGCAGCAAGTTTAGCTGTTTTCTGCTGTCAACATGCAGGATGTTTAAAATGTTTTCAACGACACCAGTGGATTGAAACACTCCATTTAACTCCTCATTAAAGTTAGCAAATTAACATTACATTTTGGTACTGTGGGCTGATTGTATGAACATGATACTGTACAATCAGACTGGTTCGACCTGTTGCAATGTCCCATTATTCTATTGATTAATACATTATTAAATTCAAACAATAAGCAACAGTAAGAATTTCTAGTTCTAGATCTAGATCTAGTTTTTTTTAAATGATGGTAAGTTGTTTAGCTCTTACCTGGACTCACAGGAGCCTCAGAGCAGCATGTTAATATGAGCTTCAAACATTTCATCTGTTTCTCTTCAACTCCACCCCCCTCCCCATTTGCTCCACCCTCATGGAGATAATAACCCTCCCTCCCCCCTCCTCCTGTACTCCCTGCACCTGGCCTGGCCTGTGAGAGAACATGTGCGTCTCGGAGGGTGTGGCACTATTTGTGCAGAGAGGAAAACCTGTCTAACTAGCTGACTAGCAGTGAGGGATGCAAGGTGCATGTCCGTGTCGGCGCGTGTGTGTGTTTGTGCTTGTGTTGATATGACTCAATTTTGATTTTTTTGTTCATTTCACTGACAGTGTACAAACATCCCACCCATCTCCTTCAAACTACGCTGTGTTTTTTTCGGAGGGTACAGCAAACACACACATGCAGGATGTTGATCATGAAGCGAGGAAGATGATGCCATATCATTGTTACACTATTTTATAAGATATAATCCTCAGAGGAAAAGGGTAGAGAAATGTGATTTATCTATCCATGTCCTAGCTTCTTTTTAAACCTCAGACCCTTTTTAAATATAGTTTATGAATGATACATGACATTTTTATAATGTCTGTAGGTGCTAGGTCATAGTCACTGTACATTATTTAGACAGGTGTGATCTTTCTGGGATAAACAGACTGTAGTATTGTTATTATTTAAGTTGTACCTAGTGTTCACACACACATACGTAGATGACGGGAATGTGATGTGACCAATGTTTTAGTCGAAGCTTCAACCTTCCATTTGAAAACTTCCAAACATTTATGCTAACTTAAGTTAATATAAAAGTAAAAAACATCATCGAACTATTACACAGATGATTAAGGTGAGATCTACCAAAAATTATGAATGATAAAAGTCAACTTCTAAGGTGCCGGAAACTTACTATTAAAAAGAAAAATACTGCGACAGCGTTGCAGACATCATTCGGTGAGGAGTACACTGTAATACAAATTTTATTAAAACTATATTTTTCTAAATATGTACTCGTGATGTGCAGCTGTCTCTTCTTGATAATCAATTTTAATCAAATGAGATTATGTAACAAAATGAAGTATGAATTATTCCATTATTTGACTTACTGTGCTACAAGTTTCAAACAGTGAGGAATCATTTGAGAGCAGTGATAAGAAGCTTTATTAAACAGGATGCTGAACTGGTTCAAGAGGAGAGATTTGCGGATAACATTTTCTTGTCTGGTTTTATACCATTTCCCCTGAGAGTCATGTGAAACAGGGAGCAGAAAGTTGTGCAAAGCATCTTTAAATTAAGCTCACAGAAAGTAATGGTTTGTCACCGTCTGTGTTTACAACACAGAAAATAAACAACAAAGAATTGTTTAGGATTTCAAATACATTTTGGTTTCGTTTTATCATGTTTTCTGTTCGTTTTTTTGTTAAGAAAAAGATAAGATATTGTGGGGATTTGCATGAGCTGTTGGGGAAGTAGGCATTCATTTGAATGTGTGCTTGTGGGTGTGTGTGCTACTTTGTGTCCCAGGATTTCGGTATGAAAGCCACCATGCGTGCAGGTTAAACAGTGATGAAACATGGCCTCTCCAGACATGAACAGTGCTGAGGGACAGCTTTTTTTTCTGATGATCATGATGGATAAAAGAACAGTTTCTGTTTACACCCACAGTTAAAACCTGCCTATATATTGGTTATAGAATTTCCTTCAGGGATTAATAAAGTATTTCAGATATATTACTGTTTTAGAGGGGCATTAATTCAACTTGATCATGACTTGAGAGGCTATTTTTTGTGTGCTGTTAAACTTGATAGTTTTCAATAAACATTGGCAGAACCTAGTATAATAATAACTGTAAAAGATTGAGGGAGCTCCCTGTAGGTCTGAGCATTCTCCATTGGTGTCAATGCCGTTGACAAAATGATAATACACTTCCACAGCACCACACTCTGTATGCTACGGTAGAAATAACACCTCTCTAAAACTGGTAATTGATTTTGTAATCTAATTATAATGAATGCAATAGATTTGTGTTAACAGTGCAACATCTTAACATTGCTGCTCACCTCTACCTGAGCCTGTGTACTGTATGTGTGGCAGCAGTGCCACCTTCTGCTGAGCTCAGCATAGAGCACATTAGCAATCTGTCATGCTGCTGCTGAGAGGATTACACTTTATATTTATTGTAGGCTACATGACAGGGCTGACCCGGAGAGGCTTGAGTGTGGTGACACGACCTGCATGCAAATTATTCCCACTTAATAATTAAGAAATGCTCAATTAACAGATGATTTTGATGTTACACGTTAAGAGGAAAAAGTCAGTCTTACATGGGTATTAGTTTAATATTACTGGTGAGCAGGAACACTGTGTGAAACATGAACTTTACACGTGCACTGAAGCCACTGTTGCGCACACAACCGCAACATCTGCAGGAAAACAGCCAGCCATTTAATGTGAAACCAGAAAATGGGTTAAAAAAATCCGTTTTTGTCCCTCGCCTGCAGCACCCAGAAGTGAACAGCAGGCGACCCGGAAGGTTTGAAGTCCGACTGAGAGCGAGCAGAAAGAAGAGTCCAATCCTGTATAAAATATTTCTTCTCTCGCTGCTTCAGGTATGTTGGCCGCCCGATGCATAACCACTGCCTCCTTTTACTCTTTTTCTGTAACATGCACATTTCCTGTGTCGCTTCGTCAACGTTTTCCTTTTCAAGTCTCGCAAAAGTTGCGCTATAAAAAGACTATTTGCTGCGCAGAGGTGTTTAATGATTTCGTTTCTTCTCTCGTGCAAACATGAGCTCTCATTACGCGCCAGTATTCACGTCGTCATTTGGATTCAAGACTCAGCGGCTGCAGAGCTTTTAGCTTCAGCATCATGATTGTGGTAGGAAGTGTCAGGCTTTTTTTTTTCTTCTAACGCCGGGCTATTCAAACCTGCAAATCAAAGTAAACAATCGTTCGTACGCCTTATGCAAATAAGCCACATCCCTACGCATCGCCGAAGCGGGTTTTTTTTTTTTTTATAGCATCTGAAGAATCAGCTCCTTATAATATTCGGATCTGCAAAATATGGCGTCCACTGCTTATAAAAATAAGACAGGGCTGCCATTTTTGTTTTCCTTTTGTCTGACATTTTTTAATAAACTGTCTGAGAATGTGGGAGAGGCGGCGGACAGAGCGAGGCGCTGCGGAGGACAAGATGATGCTCTCATTTCACAGCGAGTTTAAAGACCCGCTTCTCTTTCTTCTTTTGGTTTTCTTGTGGAGTTATAATTCTGCATCGCAGGAGCAGAAAGGGGGGAAAGTTAACCCTAACTTTTGTCTCAGACCTGGACTAGCATTTCTTTCTGCTGGTGATCCAACAGTAATGATCCGTTTTCTGCTTTGTTACAGTAAAGCTAGAGTCTGCAGAAGGCGTGCTTCCTGCACATAACTGTGCAACTCTTGACCCTGAATGCTGACCATCAGTGTGATAACTGTACACATGATTATAGCGATCCTACTAGTATTCAGGAACGGAAGCATCGTCTGTCCTCTCCTCTACCTTACAGGAATGATAAAGGTTCTTACAGAATTCAAACTATGCAGCCAAAGTTGCTCTTACAGACTAATGCTACACTGCCACTTTCTAATATCATATATGATGAGGCTTCAGTGGTGGTTCTAGACCCCAGGTTAAAAATAGACAAAGATGATCGCTTTAATATATATATATATATATATTTTATGCCAAATAATAGCGCACAACATTAAATACCACAACCTAAAATACCATGATTTATATTTGTTTCAGTAACAGTATTTAATACTAGATTGTGAGTCCGGTTGTTGAGTTAAATACATGTGTTATTAGGGGGGCTCTTCCTTTTGGAGGGGTGACCACAGTTTACAGCAGCACTGGCCCCTGTTGGCCCCTGCCTAAAACCGCCCTTGCCTGGCTTTTTGGTTAAATGATAATTGAATGTTTTATGGATCAGCTATGGGTGATAGAAGTTGGCTTATTGAAAAAAGTAATTATTACCAAAGGATATTTTAGCCATCAACTTTGTTATACATTTATAAGTGAACAGTTTCTGTTCCAAGTAAACGGGCAAACAAGTATTTAGAGATTTTTTTCACGATCCAGCTGACCAAAAGTTGTTCTTGTGGGATTAAGTGAGCCACAAGAATCAGTGAGTGATTTTCAATAGAGCTACTAGGTTCACTTGTGAAAGGGCTCAAGACTAAACTCAACATAACATCACAGGAAAATGAGATGCTTTTAGACTGCTTGTCAGACAAAACAATACATTGAAATATCACACCTTGTGCACTGGGATGGTTTAAATGTCAAAATATATTTAATAAATCGTAATAGATTATTCAGCTGTCCATTTACAGCCCCCAGAGGAGTGGGTAGAACTCATTAGCATCAGAAATGCATGTTTTTTCATCCTTAATCTGCAACATTTAAATCTTTAGAATTCATTGAAACCCAGCTACCTAAGTGTCCACAGCGAAACAAAACAATTCTGGTCAAATGAGCACACATAGTTTTAAAATAAGTCCAATTGCTGCAGATCTAGACCCTACAGGTTTTGAGAAAATAGGACTCATATTTACAAATGCATAGTAAGACCATAAGGTACTGCACAGGAACTGTATGTAGGCTAATATAGAGTACCTCTCTGCCATTAATCATTTTCTGTGAACAATGTCAGATCCCAAACTGACACTAAGATGTCTAGCAGCAGGGAAACTTCTGATCCTGCTCCCTGGAGGCAGAGAGAGCCTCCAGGAAGTGAAACTGATCTCTACTGGCTGCATTGGAGAAATATTCTGTGGGGTTTACTGTACGCCTGCACCCCTGAACGTATCAACTTTGTTTCTCTTGGCTCACAGGCGTGGACTGTGTTATGCTTCTGCTAAGCCAAACAGACTTAGGAATGGTGAAGTGTGCCAAAGCATGCAAAGTAAAATGTTTTATAAAAAGAAATTCAGAGAAGAGAATTTACTGTACGCCTGCACCCCTGAACGTATCAACTTTGTTTCTCTTGGCTCACAGGCGTGGACTGTGTTATGCTTCTGCTAAGCCAAACAGACTTAGGAATGGTGAAGTGTGCCAAAGCATGCAAAGTAAAATGTTTTATAAAAAGAAATTCAGAGAAGAGAAGGAAAGAACGGCCTTTAAGCTCATAAATTCATGAAATAGCAACTCTCTGTTGTAAACATGACATTTCTATCCCATACAGCCTATATGCCACCCTTGTATTTTTTTGTCACAGATGTACTATACAATATAACTTTAAAAATCCAGTGGGCATCATCCTGTTTTCAGATAATCTTTGCTTATTATATTTATCTGGATTACTGACCTTGCTACGTCATTCAGGTCCTGCTTTGCTCCAACGCCTCCCCTGTTTCCCATCAGACTCTCTACCAACCGGGGCCCCATATATGCCGAGCAGGAGACAGATTAGCATCTGAGCCACATCACTTGTAACATTTCTGTTTTCTCAGATAATAACGGTTAAGTAGAGTTCCCTAACTAGCTGTCTTAATCACGTGAGGGCTTATCTCTCAGGCAACATGCCCATCACAAAGCCCTGTGGTTGGAAATCCAGAGAAAAAGCTGCAAGACTTCTGTGACACTTAACAAACTTCATCCTCTGCTGAAGTCGTATATAGCCAGGTTGGAAAGTGTCAAAACACTAAAGGTCTCCTCTCGTCTCTGAGAATACTTAATCACAAGACCTCGGACAAGTTGAACAGGCCAACAGTCAGCTGCTGTTCGATTGGATTGCTACGGACATCATTTTTTAACCACTATTTAGGTCAGTAGATCTCCACATCATTTTACTGGAGGCAGCTTTTGGGAACATGTTTAAACCGCGGTTCTCAAACTAATTAAAACAACCCGAAAGATTCCAAGATAATGAAAGAAGAGGGGAAGTACAACTACAATACCTCCTCCCCCCCCCTCCTATTGGGTTTTTTAAATTATAACTTCCAATGTTGAAGATTAAAGCAAGAAAAAATAATTGACATACCTATCCAACAAATAAAAGTTCTCACGTCAGAAGTAAAGAAATAAATAATAAATATTCTTAAGGGAACCTCTACGTTCAAAGTCTGACCAGCATGTACTCGATACACACTCTGACCATGTCTGTGATAGATGGTTAGATGAAGAAGCAGCTCTTACCTGATTTATGACCCTATTGATTTATTTCAGGATGGCTGAACCTCGCTTTAACAATCCCTATTTCTGGCCTCCGCCTCCTGCCATGCCCAGCCAGGTAAGTGACTCTGGTATTCTCTTGTATTTTACACACACATTCACTTCAGGTAGGTGAGGTTAAAGTGATTTTATAAGGAAAGTTTTTTTTTTGGTGTTTCCTTTAGATTATTTTTGAATGCTGTTGAGTTTAAAGGACTAATTGGAATTTTTTGGAGCTTTATTTACCAGCTAAGAGTTGGCTGAGAAGATTAATACCACTTCTTTCTGTCTTTTTTAAAAAATATGAAGCTACACACATAATCAAAATATAACAAAATAGATAACACAACTATTTATTGTCACTAATGTTTAAAAAAATACTTCTGTTTTGGTTTAACAAAAAATGTGTTGTGTAGTTTTGAAGGTTCAGACATGATTCTTGGCAGATCTTTTTTTTAGCACTTTACCCCTGATTCCGGTCTTTGTGCTAAGCTAGGCTAACTGACATTAAGGACCTAAGGGGGGTCACAAAAGTATTTAATGGGTACAATGTAATAATGAATCAGAAAATATAGTTCATTAGCACACATGTCCTAAAGACTGGCCAATAATAGGGGGTGACGACCACAACTACATCAGCAACGCACATTTATCCAACATGTTAAGTAAACAGGCTCAAGTTCACTTTCTTTGTCACTGATTTACACAAAAGAATGTATAAAATATCAATCAACATATATCACTCCTCTGAAAGTTGTCTGCATTCCCCCCCTTATTTACTGTTTTACAAATTTGATTAATACATATATATTTTATTTCTGCTAGAGGCTAAACTCATAACTTGTGATTAGGGGTTTAAAATAAGACATTATGTTGTTTTAAAGGGTAAAACAGGTTGAGAATCACTGGTTTAATTCAGCCATTATAGATGTATTACATTCCCAGTGATTGTTTTGGCTACAATGTCACATATCAGCCACTAGAGGGCACCATCACCTCATAAAATGACACTGACTAAACTGATGTCGTTTCCCGCCTATCAGCTGGATAACCTAGTCTTGATCAATAAAATCAAGGAGCAGCTGATGGCAGAGAAGATCAGAGGGCCACATCTGCCTTCTGCCTCAGCCCCCTCCTCCCAGCAGCCCTTACTACACAGCCAGGTGGAGAGCGGCCAGCACGGGATGTCCAAAGCTCAGCAGATGCCTGTTCTCCATAGCCCATCTCAGCCTGACATCGCCCTGCACGCACGCCCTGCCTCCAGCTCCGTCACAGGTAAGGTTGACTCCTCAGCGACCTCCACTGACTTCACTTCATACTTATCCTGCCAAAGCGTTAAGAATCAGCATTTCTCATGTTACCAAGTTTGGTTCTTTTTGCTTATGCACTGACCTTAATGTTATGTTTGGGGCTTCTTTATCAGATCTAAAAAACATAATTCAGTCGTTAACATTCATGGTACAGTATGATCAGCAATGCAGAAGCTCTGTTTCTCATGCTCCAAATGGGCTTTGGTGGCCTCTGAGGCCTAATGGCATCCTTATTTCTTGTCCTCTTTTTTCTAGAGCCTTTCTAATGCAGGTACCAATTACTTTAAACACTTCAAAATAGACATTTGTAGTTGAATCTTCTCTATATCTGTTACATTTTTAGCACAGACCTGCCCCACAAAAAGTACGATAGACAAACACAAATGAGTTGGTTAATTATTTACCATGAAAAAATATTTTGTCACGTACATCAAATGTGCAAGCTCATTTTAACAAACAACAAGAAGGATCAATAGATCAAAGGTGAACAGGAAATTGGTGGCATAGGTGGTGGTGGGAACACACAGGGTGCGTTCGAATTGTCATTTTTGCTTAGGAAGGTTCCTAACTGAGTGAAATGACCTGGAAGCATTTAAATGGCGGCCATGATAAGAGCCGTTCAAATTCTCTAAAAGTTAAGGAAAGGTGGGTCAATGCTTCCTTTATGATGACCGTAAAGTGACACAGATCAAGGGATAAAAAGATAAGAGACATTTTTATCCAGATGATGTTTTATTCAACATATTTCATTCACTTAAGAATGTTTTGTGCAGTTGTACATTTGTATGCTTAAAACATGTGTAGGCTATATCTTACATAAATGTAACAATTAATTTCATACAATCATACTTATGTTGATGTTGATTTCTGAGTGGACAGGAAGGTGATGGTTTCACTTTTGTTACTCGTAGCCTGGTAGTCTATATTGCTTTTATTTCAATCCCAACCTTGTAGTGATTAGGATTATTTCACAGGTAAGAAGGCACAGGGGAAAGTTTTTTAGATGCGCTTTTAGTAGTCCATTTTCGGAACATTGTAGTTTCAACACGGCAGACCCACGTCATTAACCTCCGCCGGCCCGTCGCATTTAATTACGTCGCCTAGTGGAAATGTGGTCGGATTGTCAGAGCAACAAGATCGCCTTTCCCTAAGTCCTTTATGAATTCTCTTCACATCTTTCCTTAACCTCATGACGTTAAGGTAAAGTGGATATTTCTGTTTTCTCAGATAATAACGGTTAAGTAGAGTTCCCTAACTAGCTGTCTTAATCACGTGAGGGCTTATCTCTCAGGCAACATGCCCATCACAAAGCCCTGTGGTTGGAAATCCAGAGAAAAAGCTGCAAGACTTCTGTGACACTTAACAAACTTCATCCTCTGTGAAGTGCGTGGTATATAGCGCAGGTTTGGAGAAAGTGTCAAAACACTAAAGGTCTCCTCTCGTCTCTGAGAATACTTAATCACAAGACCTCGGACAAGTTGAACAGGCCAACAGTCAGCTGCTGTTCGATTGGATTGCTACTGACATCATTTTTTAACCACTATTTAGGTCAGTAGATCTCCACATCATTTTACTGGAGGCAGCTTTTGGGAACATGTTTAAACCGCGGTTCCCAAACTAATTAAAACAACCCGAAAGATTCCAAGATAATAATAGAAGAGGGGAAGTACAACTGTAGTATCTCCTCCCCCCCTCTTATTGTGTTGTTGAAGATTAAAGCAAGAAAGATAGGAGATAGGAGGGACAATTCGAACGCACCCACAGTTCTTAACGTTCACTAACGTACACAAACAATTATGATCTCTGCAACAATCATTCCTCCTATCATACCATCATCACAGTTTGTCTGCTTCATCTTTTACAAGTAACCAGAACTTCCCCCCAAAGTAGTTACATTTTGGACATTTGTTTATTTTTTAGAACATTGGGACATTACATAGTCACTACAAAGACTATATGATGAACTTACTGAATATGTATTTCATCCAGAGTCTTTACACCAACTATATACTGTATGTCAAAAATAAAGACATTGTTGATCAGGATAATTAAACTTTTTTTTTTTTTCTTTATCTAAATTTCTTGTTTATTTTTTTTTAGGTCGTATTCTGGGGGATGTCAATTTGAATCTAGATGATAAGGCAGCTATCAAAGCCAGAGGATTATGGGAAGACTGGCATCTGCGTCAACTGATCGACCATCCCGCCAGGACGAACCATGTCTCAGGTAACACGCAGAGCACAGAGCTGTCAGTGTGGGCGAGCTCCCTGTTTTTACAGAAACAAAGAAGAGAGGAGACTTTGTGTGCACCATGTGGGACTCCTTCATGCTAGCTCATTCATTTACACCGTTCCTTTTAAAAAAAAATCATGCTGTAATATTTTCAACTTAAACACAGTTTCAAATGTTTGCTGAACTCTGCGGTTACACAAGGTTAGTCACAAGGAATTGTTGATGTTATCGTACTGGTGATGTTTGAAGATCAGTCAGGTACATCCAAGCAGGTCACAGATTTAAAACTTAAACAACCGGATATTTGTGTATCATCAGATTTTTGGGGATTTTGAAAAAGTACCACTAATCTGTCAGTTGGTTGAATTGATTTAAACTTAAGAATCAGACACAAATGTCTTTTCTGTTTTTAACTGCTTTCAATGTGCTATACAGATAAAGACATACCAGAAAAGCTTAGGTCAACAACTTAACGTAGAGAGACAGGTCTTTTTAATAAAAATATGCCAAATAAAAAAATCGTAAAAACAAATGCTGTATGCATATAATTCAAGAGTACAAAGGACGAACAACATAAATCAAATGATTTCTTTATTCATCCATCCTTCCATTATCTTAGCATATCTGAGGTTGGGTCGCAGTGTCAGCAGGCTTACTAAGTCGCCCCAGACGTCCCTCTCCCCAGCAATGTTTTCTAGCTCCTCCTGGGGGATCCTGAGGTGTCTGCAGGCCATAAGGGATATATAATCCCTCGAGTGAGCTCTGGGTCTACCACAGGGTCTGCTTCTGGTTGGACATGACCTCCGTAGAGAGGGCGACCAGGAGGCATCCTAGTCAGAGGTCAAACTACCTCAACTGGCTCTTTTCAATAAACTCTCTCCAAATTTCCAAGCTCCTGTTTGTAAGGCTGAGCCCAGCCACCCTTCAGAGGAATCTAATTTAAGCCGTTTGTATCTGCGATCTCATTCTTTTGGTCACTTCCCAAAGCCCATGACCTCAGGTGAGGGTTCGAATGTAGATTGACTGGTAAATCGAAAGGTGAATGCGGCTCAGCTCCCTCTTCGATCAGGCACAATGCCAGAGTTATGCTGACACACTGCAGACACACTGCCCAAATCTGTCTGCCAATCTCACAATCGATATTACCCTAACTCATGAACTGTCTGAGACAGTGCCTTTATGTTAATGTCAATTTTGAACCTTACAATTGTATTGTTTCCACAAATCTTTGTCTTCACTTTTTACCTGCTAGGTGTGGCGCTGGCATCCAGAACAGGCAACCTCAACACCTCAGAGATCATCACCCCTACCACCCCCACCTCAAGCAGCCACAGTCGGCTGGGCGGAGCCCCCACACCTCACCTCATCTCAGGGTTAGCCTGCAGCCACGGGATGGAGCCTGGAAAAAACAACGGAGGCCTGGTGGGACTCCTCGGCCCTCCTCCAAAGGAGGAACGAGGGAGAAAGAAGATTAAAGCAGAGAACGGGTCTTCACTGTTGGTGGTGCCCTACCCGATACTAGCCTCAGGCCACGACCAGTCCTGTGTCTCCATCACCACCAAAGAAGGGAAAACCTACAGGTTTGGAAACACACGTCTATAATTGTGGCTGCTCTCTATCCTAAAACACAATGGAACTTTATTATATATTACCAAAGTAAAAAAGTAAAGTGCTTCTGACTCATGGCACACAATAGTTTACAATTTCTTGAGTTCTCCTAAAAAAGCAGGAAGAATCGATTAAACTATTCAACATTTATACATTGTAGTTATTTTATACAATCTTCTTTATTTCGTCTGTCTATTTCAGTTTCTGGAAAGCAGGAGTACAGCTGTTGCCTTTAAAATATATATTTTTTAAAGATTTGTATTGAATTCATTTCTGGTTTTATAATACTAATGGTTAAATGCTGGTGTCCTGTGAATTCCTTGTAGTGTTATATCCCCTGGAAAATGACTATGTGTCTCTAGTGGGTCTGTCAGAGAGATTTTTAGTGTCTATGAACTTATTGTTTCAGGTTTTTAGGCTCCAACTTCACTCTTTTTGCTCGCTATCCATGTGGTTGTCTTTGGTTGCAATAAATAGAAAAATCAAAACCCAGAGTACTCTTCGTGCTTGCCAAAAGCGAACAGAAACAGTTAATGACTAACTGCAGAGTGAGGCTTTAGCAGCTACAGAGGAACCAAATACTTCCCCCAGAAACCAGCAAAGACAGAACTAACAGATAGCAAATATTGGACTTACATTAACCAACTGGAGAACAACACAACTTCAGATTCATTGATTCAATGGCGTCTCCAACCTGCAAGTTGACCATCAAAGGCCAATTTAACTTCATGCTCAGTTCTGTAATGGTGATGTTATTTTATCTGCCTTTTTACTGTGCGAACATTTTTAATTGTATTTTTGAGCTATTTCACATTGTAACCTACATTCTTGATATGTTGAAAGCAAAGTGCTTAAAGAGGAAATCTAGAGTTTCAGTCAGTCAGCACTAAAAGTTGTTAAAAGCAGGGCCTCTCTTAGGCTTGCTCAACTATGCAGCTGCGAGAAAAAATATGCAATTCAGCCGAAAGAAGCATAAGGAAATCAAATGTTTCTTCATCCTCTTGTCTGACTGTGTGTTCTCTTTATATGCGTCTTCCCTCTGCTCTCAGGTGTAAAATGTGTCCGCTGACCTTCTTCTCCAAGTCAGACATGCAGATTCACTCTAAAACCCACACCGAGGCGAAGGCTCACAAGTGTCCTCACTGCACCAAATCCTTCGCTAACGCATCTTACCTGGCCCAGCACCTGCGCATACACCTTGGCCTCAAACCTTACCGCTGCTCGTACTGCGAGAGGTGTTTCCGACAGCTCTCCCATCTGCAGCAGCACACCAGGTCTAATCCCTTCACTCATCACAGCGCTTACATGACATTTCTTATTTGTTCAAACTGTGACAAGCCTTAGATGTAGGACATAGCATTCTTTATAGTCATACCTGAAGCAGCCATTCATATGATTTTGCCATATTCTGTATTTATTTCATTTTTCAAGATGTTCATAATAGACATTTAATTTTTCTAAAACAGTGAAATTCCTCAGTTTCATTTCATATGTTGTCTTTGTGCTATTTCCAAACAATAATTGGGTTCCAATGTTTTGAAAATCATCATTCTGTTTTTATTTTCATTTCACACACCAAACTAACTTTTTTGGAATAGTGTATGTATAAATATCAAATTTGTTAAATGTGATTAATCATAGGCTTTAAATTTTTTTTTAAAAAAGTAAAGGCTTCCTGGTAAATCAAGATCTTTTATTGAGCAAGAGAATCATTTTGTCACTTTTTGAGCTCTTTGATAATGTTTTCTGCTTCGGTTACTCTATCAGCTGTAGTTATTTTAAACAATGCTGCTGTCACAGTGCCATTTAAGCCATACAAACAACAGTATTTGTTTTTTTATTTCAGAATCCACACAGGTGAGCGCCCTTATAAATGTGCCCATCCTGGATGTGAAAAAGCTTTTACTCAGTTGTCTAATCTGCAGGTAAACATTTACTCCTTTTCCAACTCAATCCTTCTCTGCTGGGTTAGATTTCTTGACTTAAGTTTTTCTGTTTTTTGTCTTTGTGTTCCCTGCTGTAAGTCTCACCAGCGGCAGCACAACAAGGACAAGCCCTTCAAATGTTCCAACTGTTACCGTGCCTACTCAGACTCTGCTTCGCTGCAGATCCACCTGTCTGCACATGCCATCAAAAACGCCAAGGCCTACTGCTGCAGCATGTGCGGTCGGGCATACACCTCAGTGAGTGAGAAATCACAGTCAAGTATATATATATATATATATATATATATATTAAAATCTGAGCAAACTGCAGCAGGATGTCTAACTTTTTTGTTGTTGTTTTTTTCTCACCAGGAGACATACCTTATGAAGCACATGTCCAAACACACACTGGTGGAACATGTTGTGTCCCATCACTCCCCTCTGCACAGGACAGAGTCTCCCACCATCCCTATAAGGATCTCTCTCATCTGAGCTCCTCATTTGAAACGATCCCTGTGATATCTGTGCTCCTTCGACGGACTTTGAACCCACAGACATGAACCTTTAAGTGTGCCAGATTGTTCAAGCATCTTGTGAAGAGGTGCTCATGTCATGAGTATTTCCTCTGTTTCTTTCTTGCTGACCAGAAAGTATTACCGGGGACATCCAAAGATGACTTTTCAGCACTTTCAGGCCTGGAAGGAAAGACAGGCCTTAAAATGTCTTTTTCTACGTGACTTCACAGGAAGAAAAAAAAAAAAAAAAAAGTATCGCTCTGGGCAGCTACATGGAAAATCTTTTCAAACTTATTTTGTGTTAAAATGGATTAACTTGTTTTTAATATGTTTTTTTTTTCTTCAGTTAAGTTTTTTCAAAAAAAAAAAAAAAAAAAAAAAGCTTCAGAGATGGTCTTCCGTTAGCTGGGCTACCGAGTGAACGTAAAGGTGAATGCTTATATAAAGTTAAGTCATGTAAAATGTGCTACTCTATGTCTGTGTTTGCGATGTTTCACCAGTTATGTGGCTATAATGCACACATAAATAATGAGTCAACATTTTTGTTACTGTCATCCTCACCAAGTTTCCAGCATCCCCCCTGACCTCACAATGAAGATGGATCCACCTATTTTCTTTTACAATATGTTTTGAATTATTCTCAAGTATTCCTCAAAATAAACCCTGACCTATTGATACTGTTATAAAAAGTGTTTTTATAAAAAGAAATCCTCACCGAAAATCTAAATTGAGTGAGATTCTTCTTTCGTGTACTTGAAACAATATGTTTTTGTAATATTCACTTAAAATACCAAAATATAATATGTATTTACAAATTCTCCAGTGTTCTTTTTTTTGATTATTCTGAAATAGTTTGTTTTGGTCTCTACTGCACCTGTGCAAATAAATATTCATAAGACTGACATTTAAGAGTCACTGAGCCGCACAAACAGATGTGTTACCTTTCTGGAAATCTTCATGGGTTTTGCTTTTCACCATTAATGTCTTAACTGAACAATCATGCTTCTTTGAATATGTCCATTTTCCTTTTGTTTTCTGAGTGAACACTTGCCATTATATGCATTTAAGCCTTAACTTTGTTCCAACTCTTGGGTCCAGGTTGTTTTGTTAGCACTTTTCAGTTGCCCTTGATGTTATTATAGCATGATATATATCCTGTAAATAAACTATGTTAGCTGTTGAACTGTTTTATAATAAATAATTCTATTATTACAAGAAAATTAGAAAAGCTTTGTATGTGTCAAAATTTGCAAAAAAATAATGCCAATAAATACTTGTGAATTACTTGGAGGATTATGATGGAACAAGTCCTCCATATTCAGGTTTTCTTAATGAAATGATTGGCTACAAAACAAGAGATGTGTTTCAAAGCTGCGTGGACATGACTCTTGTTGTTTCACTTGGACATGACGCTTTATTGTGGACAAATGTTACTGAGATGAATGTTTCAGTGATCTGAAGTGAAGATTAATATCATCAGAGCCAGACAAACCGCATTTTAAAAGAGTCAAAACTGAATGTTTGAGATTAAACCTGTTAGAGCCAGGAAGTTGGGAATTATTCACAGGCTATAACACAAAGTCATCTTCACCTTCAACAGACAGCATTTTAATGTACAGAGGCCAAAAGTAGCATGACTCAAAACAATAAAGTCACATGCAGTAAAAGATACACAAGGACAATTTAAATTATGAGTGGGGAAACTTGAGTTAAGTTTTAATAATATAAGTATATCATTTTATCGATCAATTTTCATTTGTATAGTGCCAATTCAAATCAAAAGTTATCTCATGAAGATGTACAGAAAGTGACATGCAGTAATACGATGTGAATTCCCTGGCAGGTTAAGCCTGTAGCAGCATAGGAGCTGGTACATACCTAAACCAGCTCTAACTATATACGATTCATCAAAGAAAAGGAAAGTTTTAAGGCTACTATTAAAAATACAGAGTGTGTATGCCTCCCTGACCCTGACTGGTAGATGATTCCAAAGAAGGGCCTGATAACTGAAAGTTCTACCTCCCGTAATATATTTGGGGGCGGCAGTAGCTCAGTCCGTAGGGACTTGGGTTGGGAACCGGAGGGTCGCCGTCCCGGTGCGGACCAAATCTGGAAGTTGGTCTGGTAGCTGGAGAGGTGCAAGGGCACTTCCTGAGCACTGATCAAGGTGATCAGGTGATTGCCAACAGCGAACAGAAACAGTTAATGACTAACTGCAGAGTGAGGCTTTAGCAGCTACAGAGGAACCAAATACTTCCCCAGAAACCAGCAAAGACAGATCGAACAGATAGCAAATATTGGACTTACATTAACCAACTGGAGAACAACACAACTTCAGATTCATTGATTCAATGGCATCTCCAACCTGCAAGTTGACCATTAAAGCAAGGCACATAACACCCAACTGTTTTTTAACCATTACTGATTGGACTGCAAGTGCTTATATTTTGGGAACTACCGAGTCTTAAATGTGAACTGACATATAAGTGGCATAAAGGGTTTTAATTGTTAATAAAAGGACGATCTAGCAAAATTCTCAAATGTTGTCCTTTCAGTTTTCAGGTTTGGTAACTGGAATTCTTGCAAGCACAAAATATTTTCTTCTGTGTGAACTGATATCACTATTTACACTACACATAGAACATCTAGTAGACTGTTTCATTGTATAGTATGCCATGTTAACAGCAGATACTGTGCATTAATGCTACAGAAGTCACAAGCCAAGTAATTCACAACAAATTACACAATTGACATCTGTACACACCAGTATTTTACCCTCAAAGTGTTGTTTTATTTATTGAATACTAACCAAAATGCAGAATACATCATATTTGTTAGTAAATACACTCATAGCATTTTTTCGAATGAGAGTAAGCCATGAAAACAAAGAAACAACAAAATAAAAAACAAGGAGCTAAAATCAGGACAAGAACCGTGAAGTGTGAACCGTCTCCAAGGTTTGAAAACATCTAAATACATGAACAGATCTGGGGCCCGTTTCTGAAAGAAGGTTTTGTGTAAACTCTGAGTCAGTTAACCCTGAAATGAGGGAAACTCTGGGTATTCCGTTTCAGAAGAGGAGGTCACTCAAACCCGAGAAAGAGGGGTAACTCCAGCCCATTTCAGAGGGAGAGGCTACTTTACCTGAGTCAGTTACTATGGTAACTGAGTTTGTGACTGAGTCCGAGTTTCTCTCAGTCTTCTCCCTCTTCCAGAGCCAGAAACGCCATTTCATGTCCTCATTCTTTCATTCAGTGTGTTAGTGAAGAGTCACCGTTTGTCTGAATAAAAATCCAGGTTGTTTTAATATGATATGTTAGGATGGCAATAGCCTACTACAGTGTAAAACTAACTATTTTATCTTTAAGTTGGTATAAAGGGGCTGCATTACTCCGTAGGGAATTAGAGCCTATGCTACATTAACGTCGGGAAATGTTAATTTAATTCATGTTAATTTATAAACTAAACAGGATAAAGGTGAGAGGACATTTAGCCTGTGTGTGTGAATACAGCTTTATGTTGGGGATAAAGTTAATGCACATTCAAATAAACTCTGAATGAAGTTAACTATAAATCTATAGGAGCCTATTATGTTATTATATTTCATTTTGAGCTGTTTAAAAGTCGATTTTCTTCTGCTAGATTTATGAAAATAAATTGTGTAGGTTTAATAGCCTACCATTCCATCAGTTTTGACCTGCAATATTATAATTCTGATTAAATTAATAGACTTTACATGCTGACGCGAGCAGCTGTTTTCTCTTACACCACTTTTCTCTCCTTTTCTTATGTGTTGTTGTGTTCTTAGCCTTCTTTCCAAACAAGAATTTAACACTTACATACAAGAAGGTCCTGACTCCGTCTTACAGCCTCCAGATTTCTTTATTCGTTATTATGTCACATGTAGTCTCTGGCCTCAGGGCGTCTGCTGTGCGCAATTACGCATGTGGCACATCAGCATGTTATTTAAATCTCCAGACATACCGAATAGTTATGATCTAATGTTAATGTTCTGTATTCTTAAATATTTAATTTTTCAGAGGCTAAAAGTTGTATTTAGTATCTCTGAAAGTTGTTATGTCCTTTTGAAGTAACAGTTTTTAGTTTTTCTGTTTCAATTTGTCTCAGTGTTTTCTGCAGCGAGCTTCCTGCAGCCTCTCTTATCTTTAAAGTAAATTCATTAAACAAACATTAACTAATCAACTAAAACACACAACTAATGAAGTCATCTGACAGCTCGCGATGCTCAACATTATTTAAAAAGCGATGTAGTCAACAGAGATCGTTTGAGGTGGAGCGTAATATAAAATACACTTGAGATATCTTATCTAACAGTAAATCTGTGAACCTCTATCTATCCGTCCTAACAAGCACTGTTATAGGATGATCCAATTATTCTCCCACACAGACAGGTCATCTTAATACATTTCACTAATCCCACAATAAACATAATACAAAACCATATCCTCAACATCAATTACACAGTGGCCATAGACAAAAACAAATACATATCTCTGTGCGTACCTGATGTGCGGGGCCCAAACCTTCCCAGCAACACCCGCCAAGTACAACATCCGGTGACTTTGCTAAAAATGGAGGACAGGGCATAAGTACATGACTTCATAACCATTAAAGTAAAACTAAATTAAAACCACATTCAAAACTTGTCTCACCGATCGCAAGCTCCGCTACACACCAGAGACACTGACTTGGTGATCAGCCCCTGAAGTCACACCTGATGTGTCCGAACAGCGCGACCAAATGACGACTGGAAACACAATATTACTGGTATTAATACCTTCTCTTTATAAAACATTTTAAAAAACGAAGCATGTTTCCTTACCAATTTTCCCAGACGCAAACAAACAAAACAGCCGGCATGGATGAGGGTGTGCACCGTCCCTCTCCTTCCGCCTGGGAACCAAAACACCGCCTCTCTGTCCCTACTCCTTTATGCCCTCGAAAAGGAACGTCTCTGGTACCACCGGCTATATTTTTCTACGGGACTCACAGGTAGGTTATTTACACTTTTAAATGTCTCTTTGCGGATAAGAAGTCTATTTTGTTTAATGGACAAAATATTAATTAGACTATCTAGTCTTTATGAAACTCATTTTGCAGCACATTGTGCCCCGTTAATCTTTTTAGACATTTAAAAAACATTTTTGTTATACGTTTGAGATAAGTGATAGAAAATAAAAATATACGCTTGTGCGCAAAAAATGTTTTGTTTTTTTGTTTTGGTGGTCTGCTTTATTGATGTCCTTTAAAAAGTGTTTTAATTTATTTTAGATTTCGTCACAAGGGTGTTACACATCCGGAAGAAATAAGTAGGCCTATAGCCTAAAGGAAGAAGTATCTTTTTAATATCTTAATATTTAAATAACAAAATCCTTAGTTTTCATTAGGCTAAGTAATTGCTAATACACTGGAATCTATCTTCATCTATCAGTTCTGATTCACTCTCGTTCTTCTTTCTTGTCACTTATTCTTGGAGCAGGAAGTGTCTAATTTATAGAATTCAATTGTTTCAACCTTTTTCAACATTATATAATATTTTTTGATGAACAAGCATATCATAAAAAAATCCAGATAAAAAAAAAATAGGATTGTTTTATTTATAAGAAATGTATATCCTTAACATTAAGTTTGTCTAAACAGTATGTCCCTGACCTTTGGGTGGTTTTCATGCTTTATACTTCCTTTTTGAAGCTTGTATCATTCTAGTCTATGATTGGACATTTAAGAAAGTCATGTTATTTTGATCACACGACATCACAACTTGTGTTAACTCTTAGTTTTATTGACTTTCATTTGTTGTAGGAAGACCTACACTCACCTGAGCTTAGGTGTCCCACATGTGGCTAATTTACCCTACATTTCATCCGTGTCATCTGACAAGCATGAAAGCCAGGGTATGGCCATGGGTGTGTTTCAAGGCTAATGGACAGAGAAATATAGTTTCTTGTTTTTAATTACTGCTATGAAAATGTTTTAGAAATGAAACTAGTATAAAACCGTCTCTCTTCTTAGGATAGCTGTTTGTGAAACTGCCTTCACTATCTTAGACATCAGACTCATCAGAGGTCTGGCTCCTGCGTTCTTCAACGATGGGGTATCATAACTTATTAACAACTCTTATTTTAACTGTTCTTGCTCATTTCCAATGTTTGGTTTAATTTGACGCAGACTGTCTTTCTACTTATTCCTCAGGTACTTCCAGAAGATGAAGTGTGTTTTGAAATGTGTGATCTGTTTCTCCACTGCGTTTTGTGTTCTCTACTTCATATCTCGGTGAGTACAAACACAAGCTTGTATTTAGTGTCACTTTGGTCAACACTAAGACTAAGAAATGGGACATCGTGGATCAAAGATCACAAGTTAAAGGGTGGAGTCTAGCTGCTGTAGTTACTTTGTTTAATATCAGGTTTGGGTGAGTCCTCTTCAACAACCCCGTATCTACCATACGGGCAACTCTGCGATGGGAGTGGGGGAAATAAATATGCATCAGATGACTAAAAAAATGATCCGTATTACTCCGGGATTTCTCCTGAATGAAGGCTGTCAACGTTGTGTACCCGCATACTTGTGCTCGTGCATGAACTGTACCGTGCCGAAGCACACCAGCTATATAGTTTAACCATGATATGAAAACAACCAGCCGCTAGACTCCTCTCTGCTCTGACTGCAGCTGGGACTGCTGCGCGAGGCTACTGTGAGACTGACTGACTGTGAGCAGTGTTGCCAACTCCTCAATGAGGAAAGTAGTTATTGGCTGTCCTAAAAGTCGCGAGAAGTCGCTAAATGAAGTCATCACCTAATTTGCCATTTTCCAAATATGAACTAAAACATTTTTCTGGTTTCATGCCTTTAATGCTTAGAACTACTTAACATAAATACATCCCCCATTCCACCAATGGGGGGATCAATAAAGTTTGTCTTTATATTTATCTCTTTATCTTCGTCAAATGCAGTGTTTTATTTTTGTGTGAAAGTGAAGAAACATTTACACGTAGCTCTGTAAGCCAGGGCGGGAACAGCAGCAGCTTTGTTGCAGTCTGGACGCAGAGTGGCTTAGGTCTCCTCTCTGCTCTGACTGCAGCTGGGTCTGCTGCAGGAGGCTAGACTGACAGCCAGTGAGTGCTTTTGGAAGGGGGAGCATGGGCGGTTCCAGGCAGGGGCCAACTGGGGCCAGTGCCCCCGTAACACTGAGCTTGGTCCCCCCTGTGGCCACCCCTCCAAAAGGAAGAGCCCCCCTAGAAACACATACTCAGTATTAGACTCAACAACCGGACTCACAATCTAGTATTAAATACTGTTACTGAAACAAATATGAGTCATGGTATTTAATGATATGCGCTATTATTTGGCATAATATTTATATATTTTTTAAAGAGACCATCTTGTCTTTTTTTGACCTGGGTTTAATGTTCCCCTCTGACAAAACAACTGGCCCCTGTTTGGCCCCCTCCGTAAAAGTGGTCTAGAACCGCCACTGAGGGGGAGGGGCTCACAGCAGCACCCGCTGCTCGTTGAGGACAGTAACTGCAGAGCAATATGTACTTTCACGTCAGTTTCTTACACCAAAAAAGTCTCCAATAACACCAGAAAAAGTCGGTAGATTTGTCGCTAGTAGCTGTTGGCATAAAAAGTCGCCAGATTTAGCGAGAAAGTCGCCATCTTTGCAACACTGGCTAGACAACGATGTCTTGCACGTGAGGTCAGAAAGCCTACAGAAGAAAACAATAACTAGTTAATTATGCACACTCGCCACCAACTGGACTGGGAGGTCTACTGCAGGTGCTTTATATGTGGTTGATGACAGCGCTGTGTGAGAGTTAGGAAGGAGTTGTGAACACCCGGTGATACTAATCCGTCAAAATGACAGACAGCCTTCCGATTTTTCAGTCATTGTTAAAAAAAAATTGTCAAAGGCGGAGAATATTCAGTTAACACGACTTTTGGTTAAGATGTATGAATGTGTGTTAGAGTATAGGAGGGCGCTGCTGAACGAGCATATCTGTGCTCAGCGACAGGCTAGCGAACCAATTATGTGTAATTAAAGGTTTAAAAAAAAAAAATTGTATCGTGAGGGGTACATGAGCTTCAGTGCCCAGGGGCCCCTGGGGGTACTAAGCCGGCTTTGCTCTTCAAAGTTATTTTTATTGAATTTTGGATAATTACACACATTAACACAAACAGATCCCACCCCCATACATCCCCAACCCCTTGCTGTCACTCACGTATAAAGACTCTTTCACTCTTGCCATATTCTGTTGACAGCTAAGATGAAAGACTAATTGTTGAGGCACTTGGTGAAAAATAAATAAAATAAACATAAATATACACAAATAAGTATTAATAATAATAATAGTCTGATGTATAGATAAGGTGGAATAAAAAAAGAAAATTTAAAAAAAGCCAGAAGCAGCATGACCAGGTCAGAAGATAGAATGTGTCAAGGGTCAAGGCAAAGCAAATTCACTATTTATTCCTGTACATGTGTGGAAGGTTTGCCAAAGAATGTCAGGAACGATCTCCAGATTTCATTGAATTTCTTCTCAGAACCACGCAGTGTGCATCTGATTTTCTCAAGTTTCCGGTTAATAAGTACATCCCTTATCCAATGAGAAATTGAAGGTGGGGCAGTATCCTTCCACTTCAGGAGTATCAGGCGGCGAGCCAAGAGGGTGGTAAAAGCTAACTCTTTTCCCCCGATTGGTAGCTGCGTCCCCTCAGGAACTACTCCAAAACGAGACATAAGGGGGTCCGGGTCAATTCTAAGAGCCAGAATTGTAGAGAGGGCTTCGAAAATAGCTTTCTAGAACACCTCTAAGTTAGGGCATAACCAAAACATGTGGATTAGTGTTGCATCCACAGTCTTACATCTGTCACATGTAGGATTTATTTGTGGATACATTCTAGCTAATTTGGATTTAGAAAGGTGTGCACGGTGTGTGGCACCCTGGGTATTTTAGTAGCTAAGACTATGCCTGTGATTATTGGTTATCAGTTATATTATTACATTCGTGCCCCCCACTATTATTTTTCTGGTTAAATGTCATTAAGATGACTTGTGTGACTAGGAGAGATTCACCTGCTTAGGCTGTAATACCTGCAGGAAAATATTTATTGTGGCCAGTAGGTGTCAGTAGAAGCATTGAATGTCAACAACTGGCGCTGTTCCCTGTGTATTGCAGGAAGTAAGCACAGTTGTATCGCATCAGACGGTCTGCAAAGCAGCACTATATGCCGATTCTCATACAAGACTGTCTTTCTGTTGTGTTTGCAGGTGAGATATAAGTGCACAAGCAGCGAAAACATTTAGTTTAAGTACATCTTCATGTGTTTAGTAATGTTTGCATGTTAGAAATGTTGTGTATGTCAAATAACATGAAAGCTAACTAGCGCTAGCATCGGTAGCCTCCTTCAACACGTGAAGTGCGCTAGCTATGTTAAGCAGGCATGACTGTATTCGTACACAGGTTTAATGTTTATAAGATACCATATAACTGCTCCCAAAGTTTCTTCATCTGGTACAGATAAGCCACGCTCCAACTGATGTTTGACCAATATTTATTCTTTTCCTTTTGTCAGCAAACACCGTGAAAAACTAAAATGAAGTAAATAAAGACACAAGCATTTATGAGCACGGATGACTATACAAAAGCTAAACAAAATGTCCTTTACAAATAAAAATACAATTACATACCGTGTGCGCCTTCTAACCAGAAATGTTTAGGCTTTGCAGTCTTTTAAAGTTCTTCACAGACGCGTCTCCTTCATCTGTAGCGTCTGGCAGCACGTTTTTATTGCTCCAATTAAACATGTGAACACTGCATGCTGAACACTCAGCGCAATACACAATTAGACCAGTAGGTGTCAGTAACAGAGCATAGAATCTGAACACATTTCAAAATAAAACCTTTTCTCTGTAATTACAACAAATCCTGTTCAAAGAAATATAATGTTCTGCGACAGCTACACTGCCACCAAAATTACAAAGATTTATATTCATCATATGTCCCAACCAAACATTTAAATCAAGTAATTTTCGAATTAACAATCAATCTTCAAGTCATTAGAGCTTCAATGACATTAATAATATTGACTCTCAACCCAACAAACTATACTCCTTTTTGTATTTATTTTGTCTAATTTTAGTAGTATTTCACTTGTAGTTTAGGATTTATCCTCAGCTAGAACCACTAGTTTTTGAACTGGACGTTCAAGAAAAGAAAGTGGCTTCAAGCGTTCACCTTTCTTTCCTAAATCTCTCTTTCCTATTTGGATTTTAACCTTTCACACAAGACCATCATCATCTTCACTTGTCTCAACTACTCTGGCTAGTTTCCACTCATTTCTTGGAGTATTGTCATCTTTAACAATCACTACATCCCCAACTCGTACATTTCTTTTGGGCGCATGCCACTGTTGTCTTAGGCATATGTTGGTCAAGTATTCCTTGCGCCACCTGCTCCAGAATTGTTCTGTCAGATATTGCACCCTCCGCCATCTTTTCCTGGCGTACAAATCTTCTCTGACAAAATTGCCAGGAGGCGGCAGGGGAAGAGATTTCTTCATCGTGAGTAAATGATTAGGCGTCAGAGGCTCAACACTTTTGGGGTCACTGATTGTATTTGTGGTTAGTGGGCGATTGTTCACAATCGACATGGCTTCATAGAAGAATGTTCTCAGTGAAGAGTCATCTAGCCTTCCTATGACTTGTGCCAGGACAGACCTCATTACACTCCTGACTGTCCGGATCTGGCGTTCCCAAACACCACCCCTGTGGCTTGCTTCATTAGGAAGTCGCATTGGTTTTGAGCCAGATAGGTGGAAATCCTCTCTTTGTCTAGCTTCAATAGACTTTTCTCCAACTCATTCTTTGCCCCGACAAAATTCGTACCTTGGTCAGATCGAATCTGTCTTACTGCTCCTCTGATTGCTATAAAGCATCTCAAAGCATTTATGAATGCATCAGTAGTGAGATCCTCTAACATTTCAATGTGAATGGCTCTGGAGCTTAAACACGTGAACAACAGGCCATATCGCTTACATTCTTTCTGACCATGTTTTGTATAGAAGGGGCCGAAACAGTCAAGTCCAGTGTATGAGAAAGGGGGTGAAGGATCTACTGGCACCTATTATCCAATATCTGCTGGCCCTGAGTTCGTTCAATGTTTGGCCTCGGCCTTGATGTTGTGTTTTCTTGTGATAATGATCAAGTATTAGTTGTGTGATAATGCCTTCCTTAGGAAGTATTACTGGATGTTTCAGCTCAAAAGATGCAG